CAGGCTTCACTTGTGCAAAGGGATTTGCTGTTTGTGCAGCCCTGTGTTTTTAAACCTCCTAGCCAGAGGCAGTGCCAGCTGTGTGGATGCAAGGTTTGGTTCATCTGAACGCTGAGGTAGGGAATGATTTAGATGTGAATTTTAAACTCTGGCTTTAAGTGCTTGTGCATTTTGAGCTGGGGTCTTTGTAAGAACTCGGTTTTGAAATAGCACAGGGTTAAAAAAAAGTGTTGTTTCATATGCCTCATGTGTGGTCTCGATGGTTGCGATTGCTGGTACTGTCACAGGAGTTGTGTTCAGGTGGGTAACTGGGCTGCCAGTACACAGGAGCTAAATTTTTTGCATGCAGAATTACACACGTGCCATTCCTGAAAATGGCACTTCAATAGCCCCCTCTCCCAAATTTGCCTGGTATTGATCCACAGGTGGAGTGCAGAATGAATGAATTTTATTTATGCAGAGGAGAGCCAATGATTTTAATCATGCCACACATTTCCATTTTGTTTAGAAACCAAATTGTAGCAGCAAACCAAACAAGAAAAGTCTTGTTTTCTGAATGATGTTATTTGTTTATCTGCCAAAGTGCTTTGCATTTCCTCAGGTCACAGACCAGCCCATGTCTGGCTATGGTAATATTGTAAGAGTTATGCAAAAGCAAAGTTTAAGAAAAATCTTTCAACTGAAAGAAATAGGATCTTAAAATCCCAAAATAGAGTATGGAAAGGTACACATCATGTCTGGCTTCTCTTTCCCCTTGTGGCAAATGTGACTCAAAGGAGTTGGGTTTTTTCCAGCTCGATCTGTGTACAGTTTGGGGGAGTTTTATTGTGAATAGGTCACCTTATAATACACAAAAATATTTCCTCCCAGAGTTCTGTATTCATAAATCTCTCTCGATTCTCACTCTCTAGAAACTGAAATCTGGATGATTTTGTTTTCTTCATGGAAAGAAGAGTGAAAAAGAGTGAAGGACCACCTTGGCGTGGGGCTGGTCCCCTGTTCTTGTCTGTGCTGCATCTCCTGCTGCAGCTCCCCTCAGGCAGCTGCAGGGCAAGCTGCTGTCCCCCTTCTGTCAGCTGAGCAGAAGAGTAGGACTGAAAACCTGAGACTTTAGAGCATTGTGGTTGTTGCTAAAGAAGGAAAGAAAAAGAATTTCAAAGTAGTTATTTAAAAAATGTTTTCAGTCTTCACTTCTCTGTAGGATTCTTTAAGGGCCACTTTTACTTCTTTGCTCTACCAAAGAACAGATTGGCATTATGGTTAAATACTAAAGCAGCTGCCTAGCATAGTGGAGGTGTTTATTGAGAGTACCATAGTTCTTTTTTGAGGAGGGAGCATAGATCTGAAACCTACCTTTAATGTGTTCTTTCATTCTAGCTCATGATGATTTTTTTCTATATAAAAATATATCACAAAACACTAATTTCTGTCCCTGCACAGTAGGGTTAGCATCACTGTAACACTGATAAATAGAGAGGTTGCATGACATGACTGAAGCTATGTAGTAAATTGGTTGCAGAGCTGGGTGTAAAACTGATTTTAAAGTTCCTGGAGCATTTCTGTGGGTTGTCCATCTTTGTCTTTTGTTCCTAAGTCACCCTGATGAGTTCTTGGCAAGTGAAAGGTAGATGGAAATGTTTATGGCAAATGATCATCTATAATATCCTTTAAAACTTAATCAGTTAGCTCAAGATAAGGACACACCCTTTTATTATGGGGATGCTTTTCACTTTCATATATATTTTTCTCTTTGTATTTCATTTTATAAAGCTATTTTGATTTGACAATGAAGTCATCCCAAAGAATTGCCATAATGCCATAAATTACCAAATAATTATATTACTTTCTTCCACTGATCAAACAATTTATTTCAAATCTGGTCCTCCAGAGGAACAGAAATCCTTTTACTACGTGTTTTATACCCCTTTGTCCAGCAGATGAAACAAACATTGCCATATGAACATGCAATCAATTCTTCTCTTCATTAAGTATGTATACATTTATACAGACACACACTCACGCACATATGTATTATTAGAAGACCATGAGTATTTTTGCCTTGGGAACTCATTCTATACATGAGCAAACACCACTCAAAATTACTTTTAAAGGTGGCCAGTATTAAAAACTGTGTATGTAGCCAGTTCTGTTACAGCTGCTACTGACTGTGCTCACTGGGGGCAAATTTTCCTTTGTAATTTATTATCTGTTTTCCTCCATTCCAGTCTCTCACCTAGAACTCTGGGATTTTGCTCTGCCAGGAGGGAGGGTAGAGTGAAAGCTGCTTTGCTGTCATTGTAGTAACTGCTCCAGCCCAAAGGATGCTCTTGTCATCTTAGCTGGATCCACAAAGAATTACTCTGTCAGGCGTGACAATAAACATGCTCAGTACTTAAAAAATGCTCTTCTCTCCTCCCTCTCCCCTTGTAAAGACAAAATGGCTTTTGCTCATACAATGGCTTTTTATTGAAGGCCAGGAAATCTTGGATTTTGAAAGTACCATGCTTAGGATGAGTTTCAGTATGGCTCCCAGAGGACCTGGGCTTAATGTGCCTCCATGGAAAAATAGGGGGTGATTCTTGCATTCATGCCTATTCCAAGTAGATCTATCATTTTGACCTCTGTTGCCTTTAATCTTCCATACACTCTATCCATTTTTAAATCTCCCCATGGCTGCCATCGTATACATCACATTCTTGGCAGTGCTGCTTCTCCAGTACCAACCCTTATGCTTGCAGTCCGGCTCCACTCCTCCAGCTAGCTCCCAGAGCCAACTGGCATGTCTGCACAAAGCCTTGTACCCTGTTTTCCCTCCTCACCATCTCCTGAAGCTCTGTGCGAGTGAGTTATCGTAGGTGCCTGAGCTGCGGCCGGGCTGGATTCTGTAATTCTTTCTTGCACAACTCTCACTTAAGGCCTGTTGACTTCAATGGGGCTATTCATGTAAGCGGAGGCTACAAATTCAGGCCCTTGGGTTGTAAGGTCTCTGGGGCATAGGCCCTGTCTTTGTATGCCTTGCAAATATGTGCTAGATGAGTAATGATAGCTCAGAAGAGTGAGTGTCGCTTTACATTTGCCATACTGGAGGAAGGTTGCCAGGATTGCACTGATGCTGCTTGTGGTCCCCTTCCAGGGGGGAATTAATCCTTCTGTGCAAAGATACCTCCTGCTGACTGGTGAAAAGAAAAAAAAAAAACTGGTTTAGCCATGAATACCATTAGCTTAATCTTCTTTTCTCTGATCTTCCAGTACTATTTGTTTTGTATGGCTTCATCAAGGTTTTGTATGTGGACAGAATAATTGAAAACAAATTTAGCATGTCTCAGACCATAAAGTTCCCTTTCAGCTAGATCACTAGCTGTGCGGTAGATAAATGTCTGGTTTTCATTTTTGGTTATGTGAGAATGGTTTGATTTGTAATTTTGAATGTTAATATAGAAGAGGAAATTTCCTCGTCTCCTGGTCTATGGAGGCATTCTGGGTTTCTTGCTTCTCTTGCAGCAAATGCTGTTTATAAAAAGGTTATTTAGTACAGAAGAGTATGTTTATGTCCTTGAACCCTAGAGGCCCCACTCTCTAAGGTCAACTAAGACCTCCTTGTGCTGTACAGTCACAGCAAAAATGCCATCTCTACCTATACAGATGGTATTTTAATGCAGTGCAAGAGGATGGCTGAGGGTGAGCCAACAACTGGAGGAAGGGTGAGTTTCTCAGAGCAGTGAATCAAGACCAGTCCATCTAAGTGATTTCAGGAGAACAAGAACATACTTTCTGTTAATACCTCTTAAGAATTCTGCAGACAGGGAGATTTGTAGGGTGGAGATGTAGGTACTAAAAGGGAGCATCCTCCCTGGGCGAAGAGGCTGATGAGCAGAAAATGTAATGCTGTGAGTGTTGGAGAAGTTGATGCTGGTGTTTGGGGCTGGATTTAGGAAGTTTTGAAATAGGTGTTGATAACTGGGTAGAAAATGAGACATCAGAGGGCAAAGAGAAGAGTAGAACTTTGAAGATGAAGGCAGGCAGCTTATGTCTGGTATGAGGGGGATGGGAAGCGGGAGAGTTGGGAAGCTTGGTGATACGAGCGAAGTGGGAGGTTGGAAGCACAATCCTTCTGGCTGGGTTTGAAATGGGTTTGAGCTGGGGCAAGGCTGTGAGTGCCAAAGCCAGAGAAAGGGATGTGGCAGGGATCATTAGTTTCTGAAATGTTTATACATGGTTTAACTTTTCAGTCCTCAAAATCACAGGCACATTCACTAGATACTTCCTGTTTAAGGGGGAAAAGAATGTCATTTGTTTTAACTGCAGTTGAAGTAGGAATCAAAAGCTGAGCTGAGGCAAAGAAATTTTACTGAATGTTAGGCTGGACAGAAAGTAGGGTTTGCAAGTTGAGTGTCACATAGGGACTGGTTTAAAGCCCCTTGTGTCAATAGGCATCTTCCATTAGCTTTGACAAGGTCTGGAGAGGGTGCATATGAGAGTACTATGTGTATAAATGCAAGCCAGAGACTTCTGTCCTTACTGTGTTTCCTGCTGACAGGAAGCAGGAATCACTGCCCAAGGCTGCAGGTGGAGGGAGTCAACATGGCTTTGCAGTTTTATCCACCCCACAGAGAAAAATCCTTTGAACCTCATTTAGGAATCAGTCACTGCAAATTACACAAGTGTACTCAAAAATGTGTCTTTTGAGGGGATTTATCAGTCTGTTTTGGAGACAACAAATTTCTGGTAATCAAGAGCTTGTCTGGTATTTTTTTGTCTTGATATATTTAGTATAATAACTATTAATTGCATGTTTTCCATTATCTCGCTTCCCTATGTATTGTGGACTCCAACAAATACTTTTAAGAGGATGTTTGTCTCTGAGAGTAGGAGAGTCTGTACTACAGATAGCTTTATGTTTTTCTCCATATCTGTATATATGTCTGTAGATAATTTGGCTTCCTGACATGAAGGCATTGCAAGCCCTGTGTGTGATAATAGATTATTTAATGTCTTGCCAGCTTCACGGTTACATGGAGAGCAAACCCTTGGGCCTTCAGATCTTCATTGGGACAGCAGATGAACGGATACTTAAACCTCACGCTTTCTATCAAGTCCATCGCATAACGGGAAAAACCGTCACCACCACCAGCTATGAAAAAATCATTGGCAACACCAAAGTTTTAGAGATCCCATTGGAACCCAAAAACAACATGAAAGCAACGTAAGCACATTGCTTTTTATTAACAAGGTTGAGGAGGATTAAATTGTCATTTGAAGTTCCTTCTCCTTGGAAGGAGTCACTTAAATGAATAATGATGCCTGCTCTGGACGTACTCTCCTTTCCAAAGCATTGGAATGATATACGAGTGTAAGATCCTTTTTAAGAGCACATAAGCAGCAGTTACAAGCACCTAGGTAAAAGCTGCTTACAGAGTTACCAGTCATCAGCTGACGATGCAGGTATTTTTTACTCTTAACACCAATTGACTGTATTGCAATCATGTGTCATCTTCAGTGTTAGAATGGGGCACCAAGGAAAACAAGATTCTGATCTAAAGTCCTTTTGCTGCAGGGACACAATGAGTAGCAAGGAGCAGTAGGCAGTGGAGGAAAGGTGTGCAATTCATTTTGGATTTGAAGGAATAGAAAATATCTCTTCTGAACTCAGCCAAGTTTCTCTGGCCATGAAATTGCAGTCTCCCGTTGTAATAGGTTAACAGAAAAGCAAGTACAGGCACATCTTTTCTGTATTACTCCCTCCAGTTTTATGGAGGCAGAGGGATGAGGCGGGCACCAGACTGAAACTTCAGGCTTGAACGTGTGCCAGGCAGCAAGAGAGTGATTGCTCTGCAGAGGGAAGAGCTGTATCTCCATCCTTCAGAGGATACTGACAAAATTAGCAGAGCAGCTGTGTTTTTAAGCCCCCTGTTCCATCACAAAATGCACATTCTTTCTTTATACACAAACTTTTTTTGGTCAGAAAAGTCAGAAAATATACCTCATTCCTAACAAGTAACCCCGGAGTAATAAACCCTTGCACACAAACAATGGTGAGGAACAACGTGGGTGTAGGAAACAGCTTGGGGTTTATGCCTCCCAAAATGTGATTTTAATTCATATCAAAAGAAGAAGAATGGTCTGTCTTTAAAATTGATATCAAAATGGTTTGTCAGTGCCTGTTTAATAGCAGTGCTCACTGCATCCTCTGAGGAGTGTTGCTGAGCTGAAGAGCTTAGGTTCTCTAAATATTAATTGCCACATTCTCTTAAGTGTGGCAAGTGTGTTTGCTGGGTTACGCTGGACTCTTAACAAGTTAACCTGCACTTACACCAACTTTAAGTTGCAGTGCTGGTTCAAGCAATCCTAATCTCTTTATTGCTGCTCAGCCCCATTCTGCTTTCTACACCCTCCCTTTCTGCAGGGACTTGGTGAATGGGAGCAGAGAACCATTTTCTGCTCTGCCAGGCTATTGCTTTGCTGGGAACAACATTCCTGGGCTCTGGAGGATGACACAGTGACCTGGGCCAGGGCAGGAGAGGCCAGCTCTAGTGGTAGCACCTACTTTGTCCCAGAGAAGGAGAGAGCAGTCTAGTTGCTGCTTTGGAGTTGAATTCAGTGCTTGCATTACAAACTGAGGGAAGATGTGCCTGGGTGGTACATACAATTAGCTGCTTCAACTGCTGTGATTCCCGTGGAGCTGAACTAATTTGCCCACATGCAGGCAATAGCTGCTGTGCAGTCTCTAGACACTGAGCTGTTTGGAGAGCTGGTGGTGGAGGCTTTCATGCTCTCTAGCTCACAGAGGGCTGCAGCACAGGCTCAGCTTATTGCCTGCCCCAGTGTGCACTTCTGGTTCTGGTTCACTCTCCCTGTCCCAGCATGCTGGGATGAGCTTTGCCATGTTTTCCCTTCTGCTTAGCACAGAGGGGAAACAAGACTTGGGGGTTTAATGTTTGGAGAGTGGCTTCTGCTGTCACCAGGGTAAAGGCCACCCCTAGCCCTCAGCTGGAACATGCTTGGGACCCACTGAGCCACCAGGCCCAGGTCCCTTGGGGATGGTCCAGCAGCATCCCTCACTCACTGTATGTCTGGGATTTCTTCCCCTGGAATTGCTGAAATGGCAATATCTAGATCCTAAGTTGAGCAGTATTTGGAGCTGCTCTTAACCCAGGGATCAAAGCAAACCAGCTTAATCCTCTTGACTGTCACCTATTTCCAAACTATTTGAGAGCAGCAGTGTTAAGCTAAACAGCATGTGTGTTTGGCAGCATTGACTGCGCAGGGATTTTGAAGCTGAGGAATGCAGACATTGAGCTGCGCAAGGGAGAGACAGACATTGGCAGGAAGAACACCCGCGTCCGGCTTGTCTTCCGTGTGCACATCCCTGAGTCCAATGGCAGGATCATCTCTCTGCAAGCAGCATCAAACCCCATCGAGTGCTGTAAGTATCTCCTGAGATTTGATCCTTCTCTGTCTTCGTAACAACGAATGTCATGTCCCTCTGCTTCATGCTGATGCAGTGGAAAAATCCCAATGTCCTCAGATAGACTCAAAGTGCTCTGTTTTTCCTGCACACTGGGTCTGTGCCACCATTTGAGTGACCTGCAGCTCCTACCTATGTGCACTCACTTTCCTGAAACAAGCTTTGGTGGCAGGTGGCTCTTCATGATGCTTATAATTTGTGAGGACGACAAGGGACTTTGGGGCTTTGCAGAGTTTGTGTTGCTGGCTAGCGGCTCTTCTCTGGGAGCAGGGAGCCAGTGTGAGTATGCATACAGGGGCATATATGCATTCCCCTTGTTTGTGTATGAGCATGCAAGCTGTCTGCCTTCCTGGGAGGGGATTCACTTTGAGTGGAGGCACAGCCAGAACTTGTTATCTGCAAGCTGGCAGGTGGTTGAGGGCTTTGAATTCAAACCTGGGCCAGATCCCAGCACTGTGGCCAGTCCTGCCTGCGGAAGGAGTGACCTTTGATGTGAGCTGTGGCAGGAATGCAACTGAAATGGAGAAACAAGTTTGATGTAGAGGCTCAAGAGCATCCTGGTTATTGTTTTGTGTAGATGTCGGTGCTAAGGGGTGTACAGCTCAGGAGACTGCAGCTGAAGCAGGGAAAGCCTGGGTTGTTCTGGTATTCCCCTGAGGGATAAAAGAAACCCTGAGGTTTGATTTGAGGAGCAAATCCTATCAGTGTGTAAGGTGAGAAACCTGCACCTCCCACTCATTTCAATGTACAGGATCCTGAGAAAGAGGCCTCTGATAAGGTGCCACCTGTGTTGCAGTCATTTCTGGAAGGGCTCTACCCGCCTTGCTGGTTCATGTGCATCCTGTGATGCTTTTTGTTGGTAAATGGCAAATTTTCAGCGGTTTGGGGATTTCACAAATACACAATGAACAGTTTTCCTCTACCTTTGCTAAATGACTCACCCCTTTAGCAGAACCTGTCTTGCTGTAAGTCATGTGAAGAAAGTCATTGAAGAGTTTCTCATGTGTGAGTTCTATTTATTGAGATGCAGCTTTACCTAAATAACTGCTTAGAATACGAGGGGAGCCAATTTTGGATGGGAAATTGAGAGAAATTGTGGTTAGTGAGTTACTGATGGCAGCTTTTTAAAAATCAGTATAAATGAATAAAACAAGGCAAGGCTAAGGAGAGGATGGTGGATATGTATGATCTTTTGGCAGTGTTTGAGAAGATACTATTGGACCATTTTAGCAGCTGAGTGAAGTCTCTGGGCACTGTGATGGGGAAAGGAGTGGGAGTAGCCACCACCTTTCTCCATAGGAAACAGTTACGATCCTGTATGGGACCAGATGGCTTAAACAATAGCGGCCTCCACCCCAAACGTGTCCCTGCTGAAACAAAGGCCCATTTGCTAAAGGAAACAGTAAGCTGCAGCTTCTGTGGATGGGAAGGCAATTGTGGCAAAGGATCACCTGGTCTCTCCCTCAGTTTCTTTTCTGAGTGGAAACAGCCCATTCCTGCCTGAAATGGGGAGCTACTTGGGTGGGGAAACTCAAGGTGTAACTCAGACATACAGGAAAGTGGCACAAGCCCAGAGCAGAGGGTGGATGGTCCCTGGCTCATGCAGGGACCCCTGCAGATCACACCCCAAATATGAGTTAGCCGGGCATTTCTAAGACCCTTCCACAACTGCGCTTGCTATTTGCGCCCTTCACCAAAGATTATTCAAGCAGAAATCTGGTCATGGTTTACAGAATAAGATCACATTTTTCTGAACTGTATGTGCACACCTCATTTGCTGTGCAATGACTGCTATTTGCGGTGGCTTGGTTAAGATGTCCAGGTGTTTATTCTGAGATGCGTTTGCTTTGATGAGTCTCAGGGGCATAAAGAAGAGCCAAGTGTGGAGATACCAGGATAAGTGGCTTGGTTTTCTGTTTTTTGTAATTAAAATATGAAAATGTTGGTTGCACAGAGGACAGCAAAGCTCCCACAACAAAAAAGTGTTTGTTCCCCAAGTTAAAAAAAAAACAGTTTTATTTGTATGGTACTGGATATAGTGGCAGTTTGGAGAGGTAAGTTAAGGACTGTTCATTTCTGAGCTCATGGAAGCAGAGTATAAAGTGATCTGGAGTAATAAGCTGCTTCCATTTAGTGTGTATGTTGCATATTTAGCCACATTTTTGCATTTCAGTATGACTTCCTGATCTCAGCCCGGTTCTGGGAAGTTGGTTAAAAACATCAGTTGGTTCAGCCAGCATTAGTAATGCAGGCTAAGTCACCCTAGAGATGATAATCTCAGTTTCTTCCAGACAGTCTGCACATGTGGCGGAGCTCAGACTCAGGTAAATTCACGTGCTCTGCCAAGAAGGGGCTTTCTCCTTGTGTCCCGCTTCCCACCTTTGTGTGCTGCTGGGATTCTCTTTTTTTTGCCTTTGTTTGCTTTTCCTTTTGGCCACGTGGGAATCCCTTATCCTCAGGGACTGTCCCATAAGATCTCTCCTGTCTGGTAGTTGTTAATAATATCCCTCTGGGAAAGCCCTAGTAAGTAGCAGATTTAAGATAACTGGCCATTTCCCTACCAGTGGGGCTCCCCTGAGAGCACTGTTGCTACCAACAGAATATCTGAATGCTCTCCTCAGCAGAAGCTGATCCTGGCTAAAAACTCCCACTGGTGTCAGCAGATCATTAGCTGCAATGAAGCAAGAACTGTGAAGTATCTGCTTTTCACAGGGCGATTTGGTTCCACCTCATCTGTGTCACATTCAGCACTTGACAGGTTTTAGGAGGGGATTTCACAGGTTCAAAGCATCATCCGGAGCCAGTTCCTCCCCAGGCAGCTGTGTGGGAGGACCAAGGAGGTGATATGTTATTAAACCATCAGTTATGCCTTAAAAGGGACCTCATATCCAGACAAGCCTGCACATTCAGCAGCTCGCAGCTTTTTTCTCCTGTTGCCTGTTGATTTGTTCTAAAGCCACTGAGGAGGCAAAGGCATTTGAAAGCCTTTATCATTGTAGCAACAGGTCGTCTATTAGTTAGGGACAAAAAGCCACCCTCTGGCAGATGTGGTGCTGGAAAAGTGAGAAGAATCCCTTCTCCTGGGTGTTGCTCCATGCTGAAACGGCAGCAAGCCCTATAGGCACTGTGTGAGATGTCCCTGGGATCCAGAGCTGATGGGTGTGTGCAGCAGCGTGTTGCTTCTCTGCACACCTTGGTGCTATTAGTCACAGTGCAGTCGTGCGGGGCTGGGCTTTAGGCATAAGCCAGCTTGTGTTAGATGAGCTCTTGCTGGGCCAGGCAGGGCTATCACAGAGCTGCTATCACAGAAGGTGTTGAAATCACATGTATTCAAATACCTTCAAATGCAGCCCTAATAACAATCAGCCACTTAGCAAATCGCACAAGGAGGGGTTTGCTGTTTGCAGACCTGATCATTGCTTTCGAACCATTAAGGAAATTTCTGTAACTATTAATTTGCTCTGATTTACACTATGACCTGAAACGCATTTCTCAGTGAGTGATTCTCTGGAGTTTCTGTTTCTCCAGAGGAGGAGAGTGTTTCTACTCCTCAGCTGAAGCATCCATGTAGCACAGAAGGAGCAGTGTTGAAGGGAGTTCAGAGTAGCCACTTAAGCACCAGGAAGGTAGCTTGGTTTACTCCATGCTGTCAGCAACCAAAAACTGCTTTATGTGAGTGTCTGTGAGATGTGGGTTTAAGGCTTAGGAGTTGTCATCCACACTCTGTGATGGCTTTTATTCTAATGGATCCTGGTTAACTCTTCCTTTGTTTTGTGTAAGCTATGTTTGCTGATAGCAGGCTGTGCTCATAAATCCCGTAAAATGCAAACAGTTGCACTTGGCACGAGAGATGGAGTCTAAAATCTTGTTCTTATAATAGAATCCCAAGGTGTTAAAAAAACAAAACAAACAAACCTCATTGCTAAAGAACTGTGTGTCCATCTGAGGAATTTAAATAGTTTCTATTATTGACCATATTTTGTTCCACTAAATTGGGTCAAATATCTTATTTCCCTTTAATCAATTTCCCTGGAAGTTTCCTTTATTTTTCTCTCCTTCTAGTAGGTTTTCCCATAATATTAGACAATCTGACTCTATGATATGTGAAACATTAATAACTACAGAGGAAAGAGCTAGTCATGTAGAAGAATGTTGTCTTGGCAAACCAGCGAGTGCTTTTCCTTGGCTGGGAGCTGTGCTGGTTGGAATACAATGGCAGGCGAGAAGGAGCCCTAGTTTATTGAGACAAAAAAATAGAAACGAATGGTCTCTTTGCACTTGCGAGAGACCCATTTGCAAGTTTAATCATAACCATGATTATTATGTGAGTAGAATGGTTTCCAGCTGAATTAAAGGAATTTCTTTTGCCTCCTTCATTTCAACTGCCAGGCAGTCACAGAGTTTGCCCTAAATACAGCTGACCCAAAACCCGGTGCTTTTCCTAAAGTGAAAATATTCTCTCTTACAGCACAGAATTTGAAAGCTAATTCTGACAACATGTGCCACTTTTAATGTGCACCCAAAATATTTCAGTCTGGACGGTCTGAGTCAGACAGAAGGAAAATGCCTGCCCTTTTGCAGGCTGCAAGCCTTGCTATGAGGATGAGCTCCTGTTTACTTCTTGTCTTTGCAGTACCACACTTGGTAAAACCAAGCACCCCAGCGTAATACGCAGAGCATGGATTTCTGAGCATAACTGAAGCTCATCAGATCTCCTCTGCAAGGGATTAAGGGGAAATGCTGTGCGTACCCACAGAGATGATTGACAGAGAAGTGAACCGAGGCCATGGTTTTCCTGTCATTAATCACACGCCGGTTTGGTGAGCTGGCTGCAGTTCATAGAAAGTATCATAGTTATCTGACACTGCTGCCATCAATGGTTGTCACTCCTCCTCTGCAAGGACATCCTAAATTCTGTGCAGAGAGAGATGGAGAAAAGCCCTCTGTTTTTTGTGCTT